TTTTTTTTAAGAGTTTTTTAGGAATTTTTAATATTAGTAAAATTAAGTAAAAGTCTATTAATATACTACTATTAAAATTTATTTAAATATACTATATAAATAAGCTTTTATTTAAGCTTTTATTTAAGCTTTTATTTAAGCCTTTATTTAAGTAAGTATATTACTATTTTACTTATTATTTTATATTTAATTATTCTAGGAAATAGATTAAAAGTACTTTATTATAACCTATAATAGTAGTTAAATAAGTTATCTTTTAGGTTTTTATAATATTAGCCTTTAGCTATAGTAATTAGTTAGTTATTATAGTATAATATCTAAGTTATTAGCTAGATATATTATTTACAGTTAAGGCTTGTGGCTAAGAGCTTAAACCAGTATATAGAACTTAGTTTCCCCTGCTCGATATAGGAGGCGATTGTAGGCTTGAAAACTCGAGTTGCCACGTATGTGCATTCCCAATGATTATATGAAATGCCATAATGTTGGCAAGAATTTGATGTCGCCTTTCCAGATCATTCGTATGACCTATGGAAATCAGTATAGACTTGAGCTTTGTATGAAATAGTGATTGCAGTACGTACGTAGCCTTCTTTTCGCCTTCTTGTCAACGCCTCGTCTGTGTCCCTTCGATAACATGGCGCACCAAAGTCCTCGGCAGGATAATAGGCCATACTGTAACAGAAGATCCAACAGTGGTAATTACAGGAATTGGAGGGATGTGTGCATGTCTAGGAAGCTTGACAGCACATTGAGCTGTCTGCAGGACGAGTCTGATTGCACAAGCCGCGGCGTTAATGGCCTGGCAGTTTAAAAAGGCGCAAGTGCTCATTCTGATCCTTCTCCCTCTTATGCTCTTTTACAAGCCAAGGATAACACCAGACGTTGGCTTCTAATGGGGACTTATCGAAGATACGAAAAGGAGGTGGTTCGAGGCCAACTTTATTCAGCGCTTGAGACGTCGACCAGGTAAAAGGCTCCATAGCGCGTGAATCCCCAGCTTGGCTCCATTGTCTCGCCTTGAGATCCACCACTTTGGAGAGTCCAGTGCTATTATGACGGTGTTAGATCGGCAAAAGAATACTTGAACGGGCTTCGGGCTCTGGGCTCTTCACTGGCCTTAATCGTGTGGTTGTTGCCTTCTGATCGGCTTCAAATAAGGTCCAAATCTGGTCACCGCTTCTGTTCACCTTGTCAAATACGCATGTTGGACAAGACGTGGGGTCACACATACCGTATAACCTGATCATAGTAGTACTTGTTGCGTGATACACTTGGTAACTTTACAAGCTGCAATGATGTACATTGAAGTAAATGACTTACCGTCTTGAATCAACCTTATATGTAGATAGAGTGTCGTTAAGCTCATCAAAGAAGCTCTTTTCGAATACTCTCCGCCAGATATTTTCGTCGTAGCCGCCACCGACTTTGGGGAGGACTTCGTGATGAATTCTCTCTGCCGCTTTGCGAGTTGGGTCTGGATTCAGGCAATGTTCCAAGTCCTCCGCCACATCTTTTGAGATTTCATGAGAAGAATCATTCCTCACACTGAAGAATCAAGCAAAATCCGTCAAACATCTTTTGGCTTGTTCCAAATGCGGAGGTAGCACAAATCTCGAGAGCAAAGGGTGTGTTTCATCATAAAAGATATTGGCTTGACCAAGATCGTAACGATTCCAGAACATCTTGAATTGGGCATACATAGGGACAGTGTAAAGATGGGAATGAGGGGAATAAGATAGTGCAAGACCTCTGGACTATGTGCGGGATCAGCGAAACGCCCACCGCAGTGCCCAAGACCAGGGGACCCATACCTCCTCGCTGCTCCTAAGTCAAACTTTAGGATGCTCACAAAGGTGATGAAGAATGCATGGAGAGGATTCCGGCTCGTTCCCGTTGCAGGATCAATCTGCAGCACACGTCGATCTTTCTCATTTCATTTGCTTTTCTAGCAACGCTGTCAACCAACTGAATAACATCCTGTCTCAAGTGTTCACTCGCGTGATCCATGTGGTGTCATATGTGGGGATAGATGCAGTGTGCTTCAAATATGGAAGGCTCTTTGAATAAACTTTAGACATGGTGTACGTTGCAGCGCGTGCAGAACCGTGGCCGCGTATTGGTGTTTTTACCTTTGTGCCCTAGGGACCAATTCGTCTTTTAACCTCCTAACCTTATCACAGCATATTAGGAGGAAAAACGATTTTTTGAAAATTCTTACGGCCGCTGTTGCCATAGTGGTGAACGATCAGATAAATATCTGCTGTTGGGCTGTGCTCATGCTATGGTTAACTTGACCTGAGCGGGATGCGTAATGGCGATTTCTCATAGCTTTGGATACAATAACATAATGAAGCTGAAAAAGTGCCTAGTTATATAAAAGGCTCACGACAATTGGATATCAAGTCCCGAACTTCTTGTGTACTAGCATATGAAAGAGCGGCCTTCCCAGTCTGATCAACCTTGTCACGAATTGCTCCTCGATCTAGAAGCAACCGTACAGAGTTCTTAGCCTCAGGGTCAGAGTTCGAAGCAGCATATGAGAGTGGCGTCCTGTCACTGTTGTCTGCAATGTTCACATCTGCCCCATGAGAAAGCAATAGCGCGACCAAGTCTACTCTGTCGTAGCCACTTGCTGCATATGATAACGGCGTCCTGCCGTTGACATCGTGCTTATCAACTGCCGTACCCCGTATCAGAAGCGCTTTTGCTATGCTTCGAGACAGGTTGTCGCCATGATTTGAGAACTCCACAACTGAATGTCCCCAAGGGCCACCGTTCGTGTCCAAAGACCGCGAGGTAACAGCGTATGACAGGACTGTACGGTGGTTATGTGTGTCAGAAACATCGGTACAGGCGCCGCTATCTATCAAAAGGCGTGCCTGGTCCTCTGCCTTCAACTTGACGGCAATTAACAAGGCGCTCTGTCCCCGATCATCAGTCGAGTTAATGTCAGCACCCCTTTCTATAAGCTGCTTCATAATGGAAACACTATTGTTCAAGGCAAGCATCAATGGTGTTCTTCCAAAAGGATCAGCTTGGTTGATTGTATCGCCATGAGATAACAGGCTCTGTATCATTATTCCCGTGGCCCTCCCTTCCTTCAGTACCCACGCCAGTGCTGTGAGACCTTGGCTGTCAACTGCGGCAACTTTAGCGCCTTTTCCAAGGAGGAAAGTTACAGCAGCGGTGTTGCCACTTGCAGCAGCAAGAGCTAGCGGCGACCTTCCTCGCTTGTCTCTAGATTCAATATCGGCTCCGTTCTCGACAAGAAATCGAAAAGTGGATGAAACATCATGACAGTGACGAATCGCAAATGAAAACGGTGTTTCTCCACGTGGAGTTCGGAAGTCTGAGGGTGTGTTGGCTTTGGAGGAAGCGATAGCAAACGACGCCGCAATGAGGTCGTCATCTCGTAAAATATAGTAAATAAGACCCCATTTTTCGCTAAATGTGAAGTTGCGCCCAAGTCTGTTCTTGACTTTCTTCTCGACGTCGTACTTATGGCACAAGGAGTGTAAACGTGACGTCTCAGGCTCGTCGCGTGTCTCCCTTTTGAGTAGCATCCAGACTGTTGGCCGACTACCCGTAGCCATTGCTGCAAGGATAGGGGCGCCATAACGCTCATCCTCGATGTCAAAGCAGGACTGGCTTCCTTGGTGGCTCTCGATAAGGCTCCCGTAGTTCAACTCGGCCAGGAGGTATAAAAGGCTTGCGTAAGTGGTATGTCGACGCACGAATTTGTCTTGGAAGACATTATTGTGTTGAATCCATTTTGCAAGTTGGAAGGTTTCCAAGAACTTTGTCTGATCGATATTTCCATCCTCTGCCTCATTTGCATGATAGAGAACATTCTGTACAGCATACCTTAGAAAAGGAAACTCAGAGTCTGCCACAATACAAGCTCTCGAGAGATCATCCTTTGAGTCACTTTCTGGCGTGCCATTATCTTCCATATAATATTGCATATACTCAAGGCAACATTTCTTCAATTGCTCGTGGCTCTCCGCACTCGGAGTAACACTCGACTCCAACAAGATGACCCTGAGGCCATCGTCTTTAAGAAGGAAATCTCTGACAGACTCATGAATGAACTGGACTGTTGGATCCTTTTTCGTCCGTGTGACTTCAGCAAGGCCTTTTGAGGAGCTTAGAATGAAGTTTCCAACCGTATCTAATCCAATTTCGTCTCGATCCCACTTGTAAGTGGCACATTCTAGGTGTGAGCGGATCGCAAAATAAAGTTGCTCTGGCTTGAGTGGACTTCTTGCGAACAGAACCCATTGAATGCATAACAGCAGTTCATCCTTGTTGGTATCATCTCGAGTAAGAATATCTCGAAATAGGCGGTGCAGGTCCCCTGGAATCTCTCGAAGTGTTTGCTTCAAAGTATGTATGTGCCCTTTATCGTACTTCTGCTGCAAAATGCCAGAGACAAGAACAACCCACATAAAGACACCGGACGCCTTTTCTTTGATCTGAGCCCGAACCTCTTGAGCGAGTTTGCTGTCTCCGATTTCCAACTCGCTGTCAAGATAGGAAACGATGTCTTGCTCATGTCCCTCTTGCGCTTCCAGAACTAGTTCAATCTTCTTTGGCATTGTGATATGAGGATAATGCCTGCTTGCCAAGCATACCTGGAAGCTGATTCCTTCGGTGGCACTCAGGTTACCCAAACTCTTGAAGGACGATACCATGGAACGGATTTCGGACTCATCACATTCATCTAGAGCGTCAATGAAAACAACCACGGGAGAATTCCCGAGGCCCTCCACTGCCTGCTCAAATAATGCTCTCAATGCCTCAACACTCCATTCGTGGTTCTCGCCGATCCCTAAGACTAATCCAGGGTCTAGCACACTATGGAGTGCCGGAAGCTGCTGAAGGATTTGAAGCAACAGCGACCTGTACATGCCAGTAGTGGACTTCTCCAGCTGTTCCCCTCGTGCATTGAAGAAGAAAGAGATGATGATTTTCTCTTTGATTTTTCTTCGGGCATTGCTGAGAATAAACTTCATCAAAGTGGATTTTCCTGCCCCGGGCTTTCCTTTAATCCATAAAAAGCCATGATGTTCATCGATCTTGTCGGGATTCAGCCAGTCGACATACTCCGCTCTGTTGATGATCCATTTGCATGTTTTTGTATGAGCTTTCTTGATGTTGTCATGCCGGGCATCGATTTGATTGAACTTTAATGATTGAAGTAGAGTCTCAAGTGGTGGATGATTGTGGCCACCTTGATCTGATTGTCGCACATAGATTAGTCTAGACTCATGTTGTTGAAAGGTCCTGAGCGGAAGTAAAGAGAACAAACCTTGGTCCTCGGTACACTTCCTCTTCTCTCCGCGATGCTCGTATCTCCCATCTTGTGCGGGTGATGTGAAGTGTCCATAATAGTTGTGATGATTTATTGTTTGAGCTGTGTCTCTGCGAGTCAATGACTTGTTCCCCAAGTCGACATTATGCCCAGTGACTGTGCTCGCAAACTCTGAGCCACCCTGGTGCAATTGCGATGGTCCGGACATCCCTGATCATGGATAATTCGTTTTGAGTTCATAGGCGACGTCGGAGGTGATGGACAAAAAATCAAGAACTAGAACCGCCGTTTGACGTGGGAGGAAGAAAAGTCAGATGGTCACACCGACTGACCGCGACACCCAGCTAAGCAATCAGCCGTATTTTCAACCCCCCAGTACAGTCTCAGGAACTACAAGATGTGATTGGCCAACACCACGCTCATTTTGCCCTGGGAGCACTCTCTTTATAACAAGCTAGCGGACGATTTGATGCACAGACAAGATATGGATGGCTATTTACAGCCCTGCGGAGCTTAACACTAGTAAAGAAATCATGGCTATCTCATTGACATTGTATCACCTGTCTTTGAATTACTACGCTTCACATGTATAACGGCCATGAAAATGGGGGGGCGAAATGTGCTGCTAAGCTGGCTAGGGGGTGAGGAAATATAGCGGACGGGCTTTGGTGGGAGATTAACGATTTTTGGTGTAAGCCGTTCCGCTGTTTTTCCTCACCCTGAGGGCTGGTTACTGCTTACCCTGGGGGATCCTGGCTGCCAAGGATGGCCTCAGGTCTACAGAGCACATTCCAGGTCTGTCATTGGGCCTGCGCCTGCAGATACGAAACAATATATGCAGCCACAAAGAACTATCACCAACACAAGAAAGTCGAAAAAGGTCAAGTCTATTTTCATGACGCTCTCCCATTCTTTGAAAGTTCAGAGGGAAAGTAAAGTAGGATTCTTGTTATTCGCTTTGCGATAAACTGAGTCAAGTAAATAGGCATGGGGATCCGAAACCACCTCCAACCATTTCATGCATGTCCTTTTCAGGCTTGGGTATCGTGAGCCGATCATGACACCGCCCTGATAAGATCTGCATGCCTGACGACCCCACACCGCTGAAGGGAGAATCGGAGCTAGGCGATAAAGAGCACTCACTCAGCCGCTGCTGCGAGTCTACAGCCACTTCTGAAAGATTGTGACACTCGCTATGGGAGGAAAGAAAACACAGGCCCTTAACCCTAAGCAATAAAAATACTTAGGTAAATCTAAATTTAGGGGGCTCTTTTTTAAGTTTATTTTAACACCCTATATCAAGGTCCGGCGTTTCCTTGCTCCCTGAGGACTCGACAGCCATCGCTCCCGGTCCAGAATTCGAAACCCCTCCAAACTTGCCTGCTTTATCTTGGTGACTAAAGACATACATACTACCTTCAATAAAGAGCTTGAAGCTTCTCTCGTTCTACCACGACATCGCTTAACTCTGACACAAATACCGAGCTGTCTCAGAGCGAAGCTTGCTCTTTTTCTGCATAAATGAGGGCAGAAAGGGAACATCTTCATCGAGATGAGCAGCTACCAGCGACCTGCCGGCCGAGGGGACTTTTCAGTTGCTCTTGTTTGCGCCTTATCCCTTGAGTTCGATGCTGTCTGTATGGTAATCGATGAGTTCTGGGATGAGGATGGCGATCAATTCGGCAAAGCTGACGGAGATCATAACACGTATGTCACTGGGCGTATTGATAAGCATAACGTTGTGATCGTATTGTTAGGCAAAGGAAAGGTGAATTCGGCGACCGCTGCGACAAACCTACGCACAAGCTACCCAAATATCTCCCTCGCGATACTCGTCGGAGTTTGCGGTGCCGTTCCTTCAATTAGGGAAAGGGAAATTGGTCTGGGTGACGTAGTCATCAGCGACACTATCGTTCGATATGACTTCGGGTACCAGACGGATCATGAGTTTGTCAGAAAGAAGACCTGCCATGGTGAAATGGTGCCCAAAGAAATCTTTAATCTCCTGGAAAGTCTCCAAACAGTCTTGGGGAAAAGACGGCTCATGAAGGGGACGGCGACGTTTATCGAGGAACTCAAAGAGAATGCTGCTCGACTAGGTCAGCATGGTAGATATGAGAGGCCAGAAAAGAGTGTTATTAGCGCTTCTGGGTCACGATCGCTACCATTGGCTCTGAGAGGACAAGCAGTCGATCAAGTCATCGACATACAAGCACCGACTGTCCACTTTGGACCCATGGCTTCAGGGGACACTGTCATGGTCTCTGCTGAACATCGTGATCGCATCGCCGCCGCTGAAAACATCGTCGCGTTCGAGATGGAAGGTGCAGGCATATGGCAAGAGCTGCCATGCATCATTGTCAAAGGGGTATCGGACTTTGCTGATTGCGAAAAGACCAAAGAGTGGCAGGACTATGCTGCTGCGATGGCCGCTGCGACATCAAAAGCTGTTCTCAAGCGGTACATTCATACAGATAGAAGGGCTACTCCTCCACCAGGTCATTCTCTCTTAGCAAGACAGCAGGGATCAAACTATGGTGGGACGATAGAAACGGTGCGTGATGTGAACCAGGGCAATCGGATGCGCATTTCGTCTGCCCAGCCACCTCGACCTTACGAGCAGGATGGCTCTTCATTCATGGCGAATATTCAGTCTGGCGCTGGCGTGCAACAGGGGAACGTTATGGAATTCTACTGACTCATTTGTGGGTGTGTTTCTCTGGGTTAAATTGTCATGAACGAGGAGGAACAAGCTGCTTCATTTAGGATGGGAATCGTCTACACATGAACCGAGGTATCACTATACACCTGACTCTCGGTGGGACTATCATTAGCGTTGGTAGCTTACCAGAATTATTGAAGAGATACGGTGAATCGTATGCCAATCCCCTTGCTCGGTGCAGCTCATAGATCAGATTATCGCTGCTAGCAATCAACGAAATGCCAGCTCCGTGTTACGCCGGCCCATAAACAAGATAACGAGGATACGGGCGGAGGTTTGTGATCCAGAATGAAATGCTAATCGTTATTCGTATAGTCGGTTTGTGACTCTATCTTTGACTGAGACATGTTTTAGATGGTCGACCTATGATCCGGCCAATACCTGTCAAGGTAGGAAATAAATGCAGTACAACCATAATAAGCTCACTCCTCTCAATTCCGGGTTTATTTTAATATCCTTTCGCAATGTCTGACATTTCAATGACGTGGTATAAGATTGCCCACAATGCTTCCCCTTTTGAAGGTGGTCGGCTTTAACGGACTTAACAATTTCACGGCGTTTGTCTCAACTACCTCCGTTATGAAGTCGTCGGTGGAAGAAAATCCAGTAGAGATTCTGTTCACTCATATTGCTATATATCGAGCGAGAATATTTGTCAAAGGTCGGTTGCACGTTAGCCTTGTCGTTAGACCTAAGGCAAGCTGCGATTTGAGTTTACATTTTGTTACCCCTTAGATCGTACTATCGAATAGGCCTCGAAACCAAAGAAACATCAAAAAGACAGGTCTCAATCGTTACACTTTCTTTAGCACATGGTCGAAAAGGAAACAAATATGACCACAGAGAAATCGACAACCATGAGCCTCGACGAGGAGAGGCAGGCTTCCGAGTCAAGACAACCGTCTATTGAGACATCTTTAACTGCCAATGATATAGAAACGCCAGAGGTCCGCGACGAAGAAGCGAACGGAGATAAGGCTAAAGGTGGTTTGAAGGAAGAAAAGTCTGTCGAATACCCGAAAGGCCTGGAAATGTTCTTCATCATGCTTGCGCTCGTGCTCAGCATCACTCTCTGCTCTCTCGACCAGGTAAACTCAGCTACTCCAAACCATCCTCCCCACCATCTTCAACGCTGATACTTCTCAAGACTATCGTCGCAACCGCCGTCCCCAAGATTACCGACCAGTTCGGCCGCCTGCAAGATATCTCGTGGTACGGCTCTGCATACTTCCTCACCCTCGGAGCATTCCAGTCACTTTGGGGCAAGATCTACAAGTTCTTCCCACTAAAAACAAGCTTCCTAGTATCCATCTTCATCTTCGAACTCGGAAGCTTAATCAGCGCTGTTGCTCGTAACTCGACGACTGTGATTGTCGGGCGTGCTATCGCTGGCTTAGGCGCCTCGGGTGTTGCCCCTGGGGTTTACACTATTCCTGCTTTCATTGCTGCGCCCGAAAAGAGAGCTACATATACGGGTTTCATCGGATTATCATATGGTATTGCTGCTGTTGCTGGGCCACTCATTGGTGGAGGACTTACAGATGGGGCGAGCTGGAGATGGTAAGTGGAATTTCTTGAGATTGGTGTTACAAAACAACTACATAAGTCTCCTTCAGACCGATTTTTACTAACTTACTGTTTTTAGGTGCTTCTACATCAATCTTCCAATTGGCGGTCTGGCTATTCTCGTCATCCTTTTCACCTTCAAGACTCCAGCAGGGGTCAAGGTCGTCGACGCTACACTCAAGGAGAAGCTTTTACAGATGGACTTTATAGGCACGGCGTTGGTCATGGGCGCGTCCTTGTCTTTGCTTCTGGCACTTCAATATGGGGGAGTTACTCATGCGTGGAACTCAAGCGTCGTCATCGGCTTGCTTGTCGGCTTCGTTCTGATGATTATCGCTCTGATATTAGTAGAGTTCTGGCTGGGAGAGCGTGCAATGTTAACCCCACGACTCATTTTTCAAAGAACAGTTTGGGTCAACGCTGTCTGGAGCTTCTTCTTCGCTGGATCTTACTTTATAACCCTTTACTATCTGCCAATCTACTTCCAGAGCATCGATAACCAGAGTCCTATCGGCTCAGGTGTACGAAACATTCCTCTCATCGCGCTTTTCAGCGTGGCGACATTTGCATCTGGCAAAGCCATTACAAAGACGGGTACTGCGGCTCCATATCTGGTGGTCAGTTCGATCATCGTCACGATTGCCTCCGGTCTTCTCTATACCCTCGACATTGGGACGTCGACGGGCAAATGGGTTGGATATCAGATCTTGGCGGGTTTTGGATATGGTGTTGGTCTCCAGGTTCCTGTTGTCATTTCGCAGGCGTTCGCTGCACCCAGTGACATGGCTCCTGTGACTTCTATCATCATATGTGAGTACATAATTTCCCTACGTATCTTCATCTTCCTTTCCTTTGCCTTTCCATCCAACCAGCTGACATTCACACCGCCACAGTTTCTCGTACAATCGGCGGTACATTCTTGATCACCGCTGCGCAATCTGGCTTCATCAACCAGATCCTTCAGAAGCTGTCCAGCACTGCGCCTACAGTTGATCCCACCTTAGTTACAGAAACTGGCGCCACTACTCTGCGACAGAACTTCTCCGGCGCTGAGCTGAATGGTATCTTACATGCTTATGCGTGGGGCATCAAAGTTGCTTTTGCAATTACTATTGCGGCTTGTGGCATCACAGCTATTACGAGCTTGTTTACCAAGTGGACGAATATCCACCATAAGAAGCAGAGCTTATAAAACACTCACGACCTTTTGTATGATGAGGGGGATCTTTTCCCGCTTCTTCAGTCCTTCCACCGGTTTCTTTCTGGTCAGGTCACATATCTAAGGGGCGATGGCGGAAAGCATTGAGGTCATTTGGCCTTGCTACACTATAAATGGATATCAAGTCCGTTGAGTTACCGAATCTAGTAGTCAATACGAAATACAAAGTCCAAGACAACACTCATACGAAGCACGAGAAAAAGTCTGATTAAGATCCCCTTTGTTTATGTGAAGAAATTGACATCAACGTACATCGCTCTGAGAAGCCTCGAAAGTCATTCGATCCGGGACAATCTCCGTTTTGGCTTGTCCCCATCAAGCTCAAGAAAGTTGATCTGCTTGATGACATGCGACTGTCATCTTTGAGACCTTAACCCCGGTGTCAAGAACTGGAACGAAGCAAGCGTTTCTCAAAACTGTATGAGTTATGAATCTAATCTTGGAGTATGGTCATGGTAAGTCAAATAGCTCGATGGCTACTAATCCTATCCAATAGCGAGGTCTGGTGTGATGTCGCCTGGACTCTGCAGCCACTTCAAAAGCTTCCTCATCAGCACTTGCTTATCCATTGGCTTGGGGATATAATCATCCATCCCCTTCTCCAAGCAACGCTCCATGTCGCCTTTCAGTGCATAAGCGGTCATAGCGATTATAGGCAGACGTATGCTGCTATGACGTATTCGAAGTGTTGCCTCGTAACCGTTCATAACCGGCATACTGATATCCATCAGTATCAGGTCAAAGGTATCAGCCGCCGCTGATAGTGATGACACAGCTTGAGCGCCGTCTGACACAACGGTAATATCCTTGAATCCAAAGCCATGCAGCATCCCGACTAGGACCTTTTGGTTGATGATGTTGTCCTCAGCAGCAAGGATCTTCTTCGTTGGTGAGATCTTCAATAGTTGTTCCAGTTGTGTAGCAAGATCCTCCCCTTGTTGAACCTGTTGTTGTTGGGGTAATAGCGCCCCGACTCCCGGTGAAGCGGTAATAGATTCGGCCTGACGAAGGCCACTAAGCTTCTTCACCTTGAACGAGAACCAAAAGATGCTGCCCTGCCGTTCCGAGTTAGGCTTATATCCAATACTCCCTCCCAGCAGCTCCACAAGTGATTTCGCGATTGATAACCCAAGGCCTGTTCCCGGTCGCCGCTTCTGGTGTGGTGTATCAAGCTGCGTGAATGGTTTGAAGAGCTCCTTCGCGTCTTTTTCTGTAACGCCATGCCCAGTATCCCAGACCTCTGTTCGTATTGTGTGAGTGGTCTCGTCTTCAGCAAGCATCGATGCATGAACCGAGATGTATCCCTTCTCGGTAAACTTTATAGCATTGCTCAGGATATTCTCAAAGATCTGGAGATATCTCAAAGCGTCACCTTCCGCCCATTTTGGCAAGTCTGGCGATAGGTGCAGCTTTAGAGATACTCCCGGCTGCACAGTACTTTGGACTCTACGCACAGCCGATGTGATGACATTAGCGATATCCAGCCTCTCATTCATGATGGGAAATGTGCCGGCCGCAATCTTTGAGTAGTCGAGAATATCGTTGATGATGCGCAACAGGACTTGTCCGCTCTCTTGGATCATATTGGCCGTCTCCCGTTGCTCTTCAGTTAGAGGACTATCCAGTAGGAGAGAGCAGGCAGATAGCACACCGTGCATCGGCGTACGGATCTCGTGACTCATGTTTGCCAGGAAATCATTCTTCAGTTTGGTGCTTTCCTCATAAGCAGCGGTCAGTCGCAGTTCTGCCTCTTTTCGTTCAGTGAGATTCCTGGTGACTTTGCCGAAGCCAACATGGATGTCGTTCTTGTAGATGGCCGTTATAACAACGTTGGCCCAGAACCGGCTGCCATCCTTGCGGTAGCGCCAGCCCTCATCCTCGACTCGGCCTTCACGCAAGCAAATTTCGAGTTCTCTTTCGGGCTTCCGAGACTGGATGTCCTCTTGGCTGTAGAATGTCGTGAAGTGCTTGCCAATGATTTCTTCCTTCTTATAGCCCTTATTTAGCTCTGCTCCATTGTTCCAGGTCATGACATTGCCGCGAGTATCGAGTAGGAAGATGGCATAATCTTTGACAGCCTGCACGAGGATGCGGAAAGCGTCGTCGATAGGCAGCCAGCTCTGAGTTACTTCGCCGTTGACCGTTGTAGTGTGAGGCTCGGCTTGTTCCCACTCTATGACCAGGCACAGCAGTTCATCGCCTTTGTGCACGGGCATGATACGTGCAGTCCAAGAAATGCCTTTCGCGATATAGGCCGCATGGCATAGACGGAGAGCGCGAGCTTCAAGTGCAGTTTCAATCGCGTAGGTAAAGGGAATACGATCGAATGATTCGGTCGGCGATCCGTGATAGAGGGCAGTGAAGAGGTCTTGGCCGACAAGTACCTCGCGCTTACGTGTCCATGCCTCGAGCAAACCGACAGAGGCTCTTTGGATGCGATAGGATGGGGACACAACGAGAGTGGGGACGGGCAAGAAATCGAGGATGTCGTCCATGTTTATGGTCTTGTCCGTGGTGGGGACGGTAGCATCGAGCTCCGGTCTCATTCGTACTGACCTGATCTAAGGTATCTTAGTTAATGCACGGACTGGACTGGACTGGTCGCTAACACGACATCTCTTTGCTTCACAGGCTTTGAATCAGCATCAAGTTGAGAAAAAGAGCCTCATGCAAGGGAGGAGGAATTTTCAGCTCTTTGGCGCTAGCCTATCAGATCATGTTATGATGTCAGAATTCTGTCATGTCTGCCACCACGAGTACAATTCTGCATTAAAAGACAATAAATAATAATTGATTTATTGCCTGGATCTGGCAAGTTTCCGCATCAAGTCACGAATAATATTATTTGCTGGTGGTCAGTCAATTGTCGCGAAATCTGTTACAAGCATGTTTTTGCCTATTGTGCTGTGACACCCCTTCCCGGCTGAGTAACCATAGAAGGATAATATGTAGGATCTGGTACTATGGCTACTTAGGTAGGGGAGGAAAGAAAATACAGGCCACAGGCCCTTAACCCTAAGCAATAAAAATATTTAGGTAAATCTAGCCTAAGCTTAGGGAGCTCTTTACTAAGTTTATTTTAATACCTTATATTAAGGTCTAGTATTTTCTTGCTTCCTAAGGCATGGCTACCTTGAATAATAATTTTTATCAGCAAGCAAAAGTTATCCAGAAACACCACATCATTTCGTTCCATCATACAGGCCGTTTGTGTTTGTGGTGCATAGACAGCGATTAGCTACTTCTCAACCAACACTTGGTACCGTCAATCCAGGGTAACCATGCACTGAAAAAGGGCCTAAGCGTCGGCCAAGGGTCACTGCCGCACTGCAAACATGAGCAGCAAAGGTTATTGGAAAAGGCAGCAGGGCAAATGAGACGATCGTTAAAGTAGATGTGATTTCTACACTGGCATCGAAAGTCTATTGTATCTAGCTAGGAAGCTTATTATACGCCCAGCCCCCCTCAAAATAGGCGCATGTTTAGAAACCTTCAAGTGATTGAGTGAACGCTCAGCCAAAGCTTGACCAGTAAAAAGAATTGAGGTCTCATTGAAAAAAGTGGTTGCGCGACGTGAATCAGCCTGTTAACTCAGCCCGGTCAAACTTCAGAAGAGATTCATAGGCTAACAATGCGCGCAACCTAAATATGATGGGCTAATCCACTAAAATCACAAACAGTGGTGGGCTTATTACACCTCGCAAACGAAAGACTACCTCAATCAACACAAACTTACTCCGTACAAGCAACCTAAAAACACTTCCGGTGACTCAACCGGCAACAAACTTTGGTCCTTTACGGCTATAAGAAAGGGTCTTGAGTCGGCTTCTGAACTGATTTTTGACTACCTAGCACTTCAGCTTTTCCATCCTCACCACAACACCTGAAGAGCTATCAACATTCACTCAACATGTCTCCCGACACCAAGCTCTACAAACATCGCTGCCGCTATGAGTCATGCCCCGAGAGGTGGTCCAGGTTCCCGACCAACGAGGCAGACCAAAATGACATAGAACAGACTACCTTGAAGGATCCGATCGTCCATCGACACATCTTCAACGACCTTAAATGGCAGACCGAATCTTTCACCATCCAGAGCTCCGGCATGCGGGCAGTCATCTCGACCGTCCTGGACAAGTATCAAGACCTTGACCTTGACGTTGAGAAATGGACTTTCAAACCTCCATTCATGCCTCTCGTCCACCGTTGGGATCGTCTCCTGTCTCTCTGCAAGTCTGGTGATGAGGGGCACGAACCAGAGGCTGCAGCCAAGCTCCTGGAATTCCTTACCCCGATCTTGGCCCCCAAAGTTGATGCACTCGTCAAGACTCGCGAGACCGGAAACGTCATGTTCGACGACCTGTGGCAGATCTTTGCTCCACATGAGTTTGTGATCACCAAGTTCTACGGTGTCGAGGCTGTATGCCGTGTCGCCAAATACGAGCTCGTGAAGCAACCTCCAAAGCCATCATACTGGGAGATTCACATGGAGTATATTGACTGGAACGGCAACCGTTGTGGCTATGCGAAGACCATGATTATCATCCCAGAATTCGTTGCCTATCGACGGGTTACTTCGCTACCTGCGTACCCCTTGTCCTTCCACAACTCTCCCTCCAAGATTCGAAAGCAGATGACAGAGCGAGGCCGGAAGTTTGAAGCCTTGCGTGGTTGGCACTTCCAAACCTGTTCCGGATCAAAGATTCTGTTGCCTCCTGGAAGCTCAGAGGAGCGACCGGTAAGACTGTAAACGGAGATAACGCATTGACTTTCGCTGACGAGTAGCGCAGGTGTCTGGTCGAGTCATTATTGACGCTCACGCTTACTATATGACCAATGATATAGTCAAACCCGATCTCGCACCCCTGGTTGACGCCGACCAGGTCGGTCAGAAGAAGAAGTCGGACGAAAAGAAGTCCAAAGCTCATGAATGTGACTGGGGATGCGACGGCGAATGTGAGGACGACGACGACAGCGACGACTCAGATACCCCGAAGGAAACCAATACGCCTATGGAGGGTAATGCAGAAATGACAGTCAAGGCACCAAACGATACTGCAGGACGCTCTGAGGATCTCGAGTCCCTCACCGATGATATGTGTCTTGTTGCGACACCGTGGCTGAAAGGCTTTGACCTGAAGACCAAGGAATGGGGTAAGTTGAGATGTCTCTAGACTCCATGTATAAGAGCTGACAGTCACCAATAGCCCAGTTTTATGTGGATAGCCTGACCCCTGTGGTATGGAATGATGCTGCGTTCAACCACCTCGTGCTTCCAGGCATGGAGAAGCAGCTTGCTTGGGAGTTTGTGGAGAACAAGACTCTCGCCAATAGCTTCGACGACTTCATCCAAGACAAAGGTGAGGAGTCCCCAGTAGCAAACTGTATCAATATCTAACATTTGTAGGTCGTGGTATCATCATTCTCATGTTTGGTCCACCTGGTGTAGGAAAGACCTATACCGCAGAAGCAGGTAAGTGAACCTGATCACTATATATGCGTTTGCAGGCTGACCCGAGATATAGTCGCTGAGAAGGCACGTGTGCCCCTGTACTCCATGAGTGCTGGAGATCTGGGAACCGTCCCGAAGGAGGTCGAGCTTGCGCTGGAACGAGCACTCAATCTCTGTGGTCTCTGGAACGCCATGCTCCTCCTCGATGAGGCCGATGTCTTCCTCGGTGCTCGTACCGACAGCGATCTAGCTAGGAATGAGCTCGTAGCTGGTAAGCACCGGGTCTTCCTACTCTTCCTTCTAAGTGTAAACTAACAAATACAGTATTCCTCACCAAGCTCGAGTACTACACGGGAGTCTGCTTCCTCACGACCAATCGAACAGCCAGTATCGACACGGCTTTCCAATCCCGCGTGGATCTCTTCCTCCCATATAGGGACTTGACGTTCGAAGCTCGGAAGAAGGTCTGGCAGAACTTCATCACTCGCGCTGGGGGTACTCAGGTTGAGATTTCTGACGAGGATATGAACAAGTTGGCTGAGATGAAGCTGAATGGTCGTGAGATCAAGAACTTGATCAAGAGCGCCCATCTGCTTGGTCTCAAGAATGGCGGTGTCATTCAGGTAGACCGGCTGTTGATGTTGGCTCAGAATCGGGTTGCTGCTCTTGGTGAGTTGAAAAACCACTGAGAGGGCGATACATCGTGATACCCAGTCGGGTGGACAGTAGAGGAGGACATCCCTCTCATCGCGATGGTGGATAATAACAACAATGGTAGTGCTTAGATAGATGAAGCTCAAGCACCAAGGATATCCATAGATAGATAGCCTTGATACACCGCAAATATCAAAATGTTGTAGTTAAAGACCACAATGACACGAAGTTGTGATTTCTAGCCCCATGAACCCCCAACACCCATACAGGGTCGCAACCCATCGTTGGGGTCTATTTCTCTTGGCGCTGACAATTGTTACTCAAAGGTAATGGCATCTATTCATTAGCATCGTGCTTGGCCATGAAGATTTCTATCCTCGCATCTTTATACTAAACCGCTTTGATCTTCTTCAGTGGGATGTGATTGATGGCAATACTGTGGCCGAAGGTTGCTAGCCGAGGTGATCGGGGACTAGTACCTTGGGTCTTGACACATGCAATGGAACCATCTCCCGCTTAACCGCAACCCCCAACCCCCAACTGATTACCTTATATTGGACTAGTCAATACTTTAGATGCGGAAATGCAAATGGCCATTTGTGTCGCTATTGGGCTCTAAGTTCACTGAGGCGAGTAAAAGCGATGAAACAAGACTGATGAAGTGAACATTGCAATATCATGTATAGGATATCAAGTTCATTGATGAGACTCCTCTTCTCAACCTCAGACGATCTCCTCTGTAGATAATGAATACGAAATCATCCCGCAATTTAAGCATACCATTCCCTTCATGGTTTTCCGTTCGTTAGCACTGCTACCTACCCCAATAAGGTCCGAGCCGATCATTGTTTATCTTTAACCGTAATTTGACGGCAAAACATATTCCACCACTTACAAACACCCTGTGATCTGCGCCGTTCGATCAAGAGTTCTTCTCGTCTGATCATTGGTGCTAATTGTCAAGCCCGACAGGGGTTCCCCGCAAACACCTCAGAATTAACCAGTACCTTAATCCTAACCGAGCTCGGGGTCCTTTGATGCAAAGAGAAAAAAGCGCAGATGATCTTGAATACATATACCGTGCTAAAGACCATGTTTGTGCCATTGACATCTCAGTTCCCTCTCGTTCTCATTCAACTGCCAAGATGAAGCTGTCCTCGGTTCTCTGTGGTGTCTTTGCGACTCTTACTGTTGCGTTTCCCAAGGAATATCTCAGTCTCGCGACTTGGGGTGTTGAGGGTTACGCGAAGGATAATCCCCTTGGTATCACCACTGGTGGCAAGGGTGGAAAGACTGTTACTGTCACTACGGCCGAGGAGCTTGTCGCTGCTGTCAAGGGTACCGAGCCTAAGATCGTGAAGCTCAAGGGCAAGGTTACTCTACCTTCTCGCCTGAAGGTCGGATCCAACACTTCTCTTATTGGTGTCGGATTGACCGCTCACATCACTGGTGCTGGCGTCGATGTTTATCATGGAGACAATGTCATTCTGCAGAACTTGAAGATCACCCATATTTTGGATAATGATTGTATCACTATCCGAAACAGCACTCGCGTCTGGGTTGATCATAACGAGTTTGCTTCAGATATCAACCAAGGTCCTGATCACTACGTAAGTCTTGTGCAGTCACCGATTCCACAAAACGGTTAGCTGACCTGTTCTTTCTAGGACGGACAAGTCGATATCATCCGCGCTTCGGATTGGATCACCGTCTCGTGGAACTATTTCCACGACCACTGGAAGTCTTCCCTCGTTGGCAACGACGCTACCTTCCGCGATCTCGACTTCGGCCACCTCCACGTCACATATCATCACAACTACTGGCGCAACATGGGTACTCGTGGCCCTGCTGGTCGGTTTGGCCACCAGCACATTTACAACAATCTCTACGAGGATTTCCTGTACCAGGCCATCCACAGTCGATCTGATAACCAGGTATGTCGCACGAAGCTTGTGGGGGGTATTTTGACTGATTGAGATAGGTTCTGGTTGAGGGCAACGTCTTCCGAGGCAACACAAGCGAAGCTCTGAGCACCTACGGTCTTGTCATCCCTATGGACTCTCCCAACACTTGCACTTGCGGCGACGAGGAGCTTGATGGCTATGCCAACCTTGGAGCCAGTAAGTACAATTGTTCTGCCATTCAAATCTCCCTACTGACTATTAAACAGAGAACGATTGGGGCAAGGCTGGAGTTAACATTACACAGAAGGGTAACTTTTACAAGGCTGATTACAAGTACAAGTTGACTCCTCTCAAGCTGGTCCCCACCGTGGCCAAGCTTGGAGCTGGTGTTGGTAGAATCTGGTAAAAAGGTAGTCTCAGTGTCTTGCAATTTACTCATTAATACGATGCATGTTGCTTTATTGCAGCCTGAACTAAAACTGATATCACTACCTTGGCAATATCCTTTCGGGCCGTCGATGGAGTCCTAATCTCATAATAATGGGACTCTCGTACCATTGTGTTGGTTCTGTAAAGTTGCCTAGCCTTGGCATATTAAAGAGGTTACTGACCAGCTGAAGAAGGTCGAAAGTGTTTATTTTGCCCACTTTTGTTGGTTGTGTATCATCGCTTAAATCTGCCGCTCAGTCTGTAAATTTGTCTTAAATCAGCCCGAGACCGAAGTTGAAACTCAGAGTAAAAATGATTAGCCTAACACCGCCAACATGCGACTTGCTAGAATCAGAAGAAACCTTCAACCATCATCTCAGACATTATTAACATGCTTTTTCTCATTCATGATTTACACGCCAATTTTGATCTGGCTCGGGTGTTATCTTAACATCACCAGCTACTTCCAATTCCACAGGATACTTCCTGAGAAAGGCGAAACCCGACCCCCGCTGCCACCCGTGGTTTGTCTTTCTCATGTACATGTATCAAAGGCCAACGACCCTTGCGAGTCATTAGCTCTCGAGTACGGCGTCTCTTCTGCAGAAATATTTATCAACAACCCCGACATCTTCCAATGCGACGATATGGTTGAAGACGTGCCAATCTGTCTACCATTTCAATGCAATACTTATCAAGTTAAAGAAAACGACACTTGTACCTCTGTATCTGAGTCCTTGGGTATCACCATAAAGGACTTCATGTCTCTCAATCCCTGGAGCCCAGGTGGCGCTTACAAGGATTTCCAGTTCGGTAAATTCATTTGCACTACGCCATCTGACGGCCATTACAACCGAACTATCAAAAATCCTGACCCGGCAGACTCCAATTATGCTGACGAGGTTGTTCCACGACCCGAGAACGCCGATCCGGCTGCGAACAAACAGTGCGGGCGTTGGTTTACAGTTGAGGAAGGAGATGACTTCTCTCAGTACTGGGCCAGCACGACATGAGTCTGTCTCTATTTACAGCTGCCAACCCATCGATATCGCCAAGTAACTGTACTACGAGTCTCATCCCAGGACAAGCGTATTGTGTCGGCCCAACCAAAAACGCTCTACCAGAATCATATCCCCCTCCTCCATACTGGCGCCACGGATGTTATTTCAGTGGCAACGACGATTTTGATCGTCCCACCCTTGCTTTGACAGGTCCTAGGTTGAGCCATATCAAGCCCCTATCTATTTCTTCTTGTCAAGCCTACTGTCTCTCACTCTCTTTGCCTGTCTTCGGTCTACAAAATCGCGATACCTGTATATGCGACGATCGTTTGCGAATGGATAGCAGACCTCACAATATTTATGGCTGCGAATCTCGCTGCGGCTACGGATACGAGGACTCTTCTTGTGGTCCGGAACAACATCCTATTGAAGTCTTTAGTTCTCAAGAGCATCTGGCTGTTGAGTACGTCAATATCGGATGTTTCGAGAGTAAGAAGGAATACGTGTTACTGGGAAGGAACTATATGGAATGGAGAGACGGCACTCTGGAAGAGTGCGCATACTTCTGTCATCACTCTGATTACTTTGCTCTCCAGACCAAGTATTATAGTCCAGTGGAACAAGTCAACTTTTGCATTTGTGGCAATCAATTGAACCCAAGCATTAAGAAGCTGAAGGGAGATGAGGAATCTGCTGATGAGAAGGGGGATGTCTGCAAGGGAAAAGGAGGAACAAATATTTACACTACAAACTCTAAGTATATAGAATCTTCTTAAGTATGGCTCCTTTGAGGTTAGGCTATGCTCTGACGGCACTACATGCCCGTGAGGTGCAACAGCAACAATTACATCGCTAGTATGCCTCCATATCTCGATAAATCCAACGCCTGTGAAATTGGCCAACCAGGGAGGGGTTATGTTCCACCGTACCGTAAAGATTATTGAGGCCTCCCATCAAACTCTATTTCAGGCAGCTAAGTACACAGAACAGAGTATCAATGTATAGGCAAACAAAATCGTGGTGCTTTTTTAGCCAATCGTCATGCTGCTTATGTACTTTCAGCTCCTGCAATCGATAGCGTCTAGACTATTTCTGTCCTTTTGTATGCAGCAAAGGTGGGATTTTCTTATTTTCTTACCTATTTCAGCTCTCCACGTGCGCGATAAGTACACAGCGACGATTGCTATCGAGTGGTTGACTTGGATTGGTAAGTTGCACTGCAGAATTGATAAATAATCTGGTGCCGTGGCATACTTTTGTGCAGACAGATTTTCTTCTGAAACTCTTCTGTCTTTTTAAAGCATACTTATTCTAGTAGTAGCAAGTTCAGTCATGACTACAAACCTCTTCAGGTTCCTTATTGGAACGATTGGCACTATTAGCATTTGCTTCATCATTAACAAAATTCTCAACCGAATCGTACTCTACAAATCGTCCACCGCACAACCTTGGGATTGGAGTAAGGAAATCGTGCTTATCACAGGTGGCAGTGGCGGCATCGGCTCTGAAATGGTCAACAAATTCTCCCGCAAAAACATCAAAGTTGTATCCTTTGACATACACCCACCAAAAAGCACATTCTCTCCAAATGCACATTTCTACAAAGTCGATGTTACTTCGCCACACAGCATACATGAGGCCATGGAACAAGTCCGTCGGGATATCGGAGATCCAACGGTCCTGATCAATAATGCTGGCATCGCCTTAGGCAAAGACATTCTTGCTTGCACAGCAGACCAGATCAAGCAGATGGTCCAGGTCAATCTGCTAGCACACTTTTGGCTTGTGCAAGAATTGGTCCCATCCATGGTCAAGCAGAATCACGGCCATGTCGTTACAATTGCTAGCGTAGCTAGCTTCATTACTATCGCAAGCAATATCGACTATAGCTGTACGAAGGCTGCGTTAGTAGCCTTCCATGAAGGCCTGACGCAAGATCTGAAACATAGATATAACACGAAAGATGTGCTTACAAGGTGAGTGTCATTTCCTTTCCTGGGCACCAACTCATCTAATATTTTCTGAAAGTATTATTTTCCCTTACTGGGTTCGCACGCCTCTGATACAGAACCTCACTACACATTCTACTTTTCACGATCCACTTCAGGAGCCGAACGATGCAGCTGAAGCGATTGTAGATCATGTCTTGAATGGCCGCCGCGGAGACCTCTTTTTACCAGGTTATGCAGGTCTTTTATCTGGGATTCGCGGATTTCCTGCTTGGATGCAGGAGATGATTCGGGACAGCAAGGCCGGCGTTCTACGGGAAACTAATTTTTGAGACTTGATATGGGAGTTGACGAATAACTTCTCCGTCCATAATGGATTGGCTTCTGAGCTACGTTATGGAAGTAGGTAGAAGCGACTGCCTTTGGCGGCGCTGACTCGATATAGTAAATGAAAGTGGTTGAAAAGGCAAGACATCATACATCGATTGGCAGTGGAAACTTGAGTAGATTCATAATCTAACCTGCATATAGACTAAGCTCTGGATTGCTACGCTCACAAAATATCTGATAGCAGCCAAAGTAGTAGCGGTTAGTTCCAACGTTATTAGCCTACTTGTCTGCCCTTACGAGTGGAGATATCGGATCACGGTGAAGCCATTTCCAGTCAACGGAACCACCGCCCTCCGCAAACCGACCACGGCCGTTCCGCCACCCACTCCGCTTGAGGCCTCACCACCGCGCGGAACTAAGAAGAAGCGCTTTGACAACTGAACCAAACTCGATCCATCAACGAAAATGATCATGCGCGATGAAATTTTGGTAACACGGCGGTTCCTTCAAGATGTTCATCCCATTTCTACGGTTCTACCCCAGCTTCAATGCTGATCCCAAGTGCGGAGAAAATCTGGGGAAGCATGGAGCGGAATTATTGCCGACTCCAGACCAGGATATCGTGATGGACTATTTAAAGAAGAGTGGATAATGGTCAAAATCTCTTTCCCATCAGCAGATCGGCTTCAACTCCTCATTCTTCTGCCTCTGTACTTCGGAATGGCGAATCTTAAATCCCTCATCTTTCTGGCTGCCGTTTCGACGGTACGCGCTACTATCAGCCCTGGTAGTCTCGTCACTATCTCAACAGCTGTCGATGCTACCAGTGGCGCTGCCTGGTGGGATCCTTTAGATGAGTATGGCGGCTATGACTGGCTTGCTTATCTGAGGAATCCTCCGGGCGGTGCTATCGCTGATAATAATGTCATGGTTGCGCGCCGCTCTATCTCAGATGGCACTATCTCTCGCGATTGTGTCAGAGATTCAGACGGAGAGTGTGCTGTCTTTGCAGATGATCTTGGACATAACACTCCCAGCATCAGCGTTGATGGTGATGGCTATGTCCATGTTTTCACGAGCATGCACAACGAGCCATGGAAGTACTTCCGCTCATCTCAGCCGTACAGCAGCACTCTCGTCAACGCCAGCTCTGATATGCCCGATCAGAGTGTCCTCATCACATACCCTGTTATCAAGCGTGATGCCGATGGGAACTTATGGCTGATTGTCCGAGGACAAGCATCCGGTGATGGCACTGCACGAGGAGGTTACTTCTACAAGTACACCACGAGCAACAAGACGTGGGCTCGCATCAGCCTCTGGGCCTACAACAAGGGTTACTCTGTCTATCCCGATGACATTGCCTTTTCGTCTGATGGAGATGTTCATGTTCAGTGGGAATGGAGCAAGTATCCCGCCTCTGCTGTGCGCCACCAGGGAAGCTATGTCCGCTATCGACCTTCGACAAACTCCTTCACCTCCGCCTCTGGATCTACCGTTTCGACACCCATTACCCAGAACACCGCCGATATCGTGTATCAGCCTCTGACTTCGGGCGAGACATACAGCGGCGACATCAACGCTTCACCTGGCCCAGCTTTCCAGAGCGCCAAGATGGCCCTTTATGAACGCCCCTCTGGCACCGTTCACATCCAAAGTGCCTACCGCTTCAAGAATTCTACTAGCGGAACATGGCAAGTCCGCCGTGCAACAGCCACATATGGCACATCGAACCCCTGGACACGTGAGATTCTGTATAGCGACAGTGAGACCAGCGCTGGTATTGGCATCACTCACGACGGAACAACTGCTCGCATCTACTACAGTCGCACTTCGGCAAGTGCCTTTGTGCTGGAGAACGTCGGTGGGGCTGGCTGGACCAATACTGCCATTCAGCCGGCTGTCGGCAAGAAGGTGCAGCGTCTTCAGGCTTTGATGAGGAGTGATGGAACGGATGTTTTGTATCTGGGCGCGCCGACAAATGTGAACTCGACTACCGGCAGCTTGTATCTCTTGACTGTTGGCGGCAGGACCTAGTAGCACGATGCTTGTCTAACATCCCAACATGAGAGACTTGGATGTGTTAGTGGAGTAGCCATTGTTGCGGTCTGATCTGGTCCCATATTGGTCAACACGACCCTTCTCATATTTCAAGGGTAGTTTCACTATATATTACATGTCCGTGTTTGTTAAAAATCACAAATCTTACTGCCCAGCGTTATACCCATAGTCTCCGTCCTCTGGATACTCAACTGGCATCTCAGGAGTGATATTACTAAAGTCTCCGTGAAAGTTCAGAATGCTATTCGTGAAAGAATCATCTGGCCTTCCCGTAGCGTTGAACTGGGACGTCGACATATCCTCTACACCGAGCATTGGGGCCGACAAGTATGCCCAGAAGTTGAGCTCATCGGGTGCGACAGTTACATCTGAAAGATCAAAGAGTGGCCACGTATCTTCTGGCATCATTGATGATATAGTGTTGTGACTCTGCCCGTTGCCAAAGAGTCCTTGTTGAGTATTTGTTGACGTCCCAAAAGCTGTCCAATTTTCGCCCGCGGATTGCGTTCCGTATCCAGCTGTATCAGCTACTGATCGTCGTTGAGTCTCGGCGTCTATAGTAGGTCCATAGACCTGAATCATTGCTCTGTTACCCGATTCCAGATTAATGTTTCGAGGACTTGTGTCATGCATATCTGTCTCGCCTCCAACAGCAGCCAGACTCCGTTGTGACACGCCATCAGAATCCTGTCTCCGGAGCTGTTGTATGATAGAACGCCTCCGATCCCGCCGAGATTCCTCCGAGTTGTGGTGTATTGGTAGTCGTTGGCTTCCCCCTGCTGACCGCATCATATCCTTCTCGACCAGATCGATAGTAGCATCAGCTAATTTGGATAGTGCTTCACGCGCTCGTGCAATTCTTTCCCATCGCGCTCCAAGTTTCTCAAGTATACTCTTCCATTGAAACAAGCAGCTCTTGAATGAGACCCAGTCACCCTTTGCCTTGATTCGCGCCTGAGTATTCTTCCAGACGATAAATACGAGAGTAACTCCGCTCATGAATTGGAAATGTAGGTCTATCCAGGTGAAGTCCATTAAACCTTCGCTGATACGAAGATATGAGAGCTGAATAAGGTCCTTGGCAGCTTCGTAGCATGACAGCGTGTCAGTAGTACTGAGGGTTGGACGAGATGGAGATGGTCTGTAGAGGATGAGCAGCGCTGTACGATACCAGTAGCCCCACCAGTTGACGTTATGACCATCGGAGTCAGTGAGAGTCAGGGCTACTGAGTTCCAGCTTTTCAACCGCTCAGCCATCTCCTTAGTCCACTGGGTAAGGTCTGTGTCCTGTTCGCCAGTGCTTGTATCGTCTCGCCGTACTGCATGTAGCTTGTGTACGATCTCACTTTCGAGTCGTTGCAGTTCAAGCCAGTGCAGTATCTGTGGTCGCTTACTAGGTACTAGCGAATGTCTCGGCAGATGAATGTCGACAGTAAAGTCGTCAAAAGTGAAGGGCCGACCAAGAAGAATATTGAGTGTCCGATCAAAACTGTACGTTACCCAGAATAGTCTTCGCTTCGTATCTGCTTCACTTATCCTCTCAACTTCTGCGTCGTCACCAGTTGAAGAAATAGCGATTGTGGTTTCTGAGTGATATCCGAGATCAATGCACATCCGCATGCAAAGACCTGAGATATACCAAACCGGCGCAGAGGATGAGTCGAGGATCGAGAGAAGCAACAACAGTAGAAGGCATTGAACTGACTTGACATTTTTTGTCTGCATAATCAGGCCGATGTCCGCCATGGCGTTGGCAGTGAAGCCTTTCGATAATGTCGTGCTCTCATTATGATCGTTGGACATGAACATGAGAGAGATGGCAAGCACCATGTTAAGCATGAATCGAGTCCACACCTCGCCAGATGCTGGCCGATTTTGGCCATCACCATCGTTATGACGAGCATAGAATTCTGTCACGGCCTTGCTGAATTCCTGCTGGTCAAGAATGGGATACTGAACCTGATATTGGCTGAAGAACGTGTCAATGAGACTATTAGCCGTCTCTCGTGATGGTAAGGCAATTCTGGCACTGCTAGTAGTGGGCTCCTTTGGTCCGGCTCGAGCTTCTGTCGCCTCGGATGGTGATTCGAAGTCTGGATAGTTTTGTTGAGCAGACTCGAGAACTGATCGAACCAAGTACATTCCTACGCTCCCGTAAGCTCAAGCAGTTGATGTTAAGAGTGTGTCCCTACCACTTGAAGCTCCGATGAAATGAGCATGACCCTCGTCCCCAACTCGAATTAGGTCCTGGGGAGGCTCATCGTCTGAGCGCAAGGTCGAAGTGGGCGGCGAGACCTCGGCTGTCGCATCGTCAACCTCTTGAAGCTGAGATTCCAGTCGCATGAGCTGAGCTTCCAGATCATGGATGTAACTCCGAGGATGGACGTCACCCGAGCGGCCATCCGTGTAATCACATATCGAGCCTGAATTTTGACATGGCTGGCAGGCAGGAATCTCTGTGTGACATTAGTGAAAGGGATCGACGGAAGACGAATCGCAGAGCAACTAACGTGTATCACAACGCGCTTTGCGTTTGCGACAACGATTACACGCGTTTATCGTCTAGGTCATTGTCAGTGATAAAAGCTCACATAGCCACAAGTAGGAAGCTTACGAAGTATGGCGGATCCATTGTCCGCCAAACACGCCATCATCCTACATAGATTTGGTGTATCTGACGCGACTGCTTCCCTGCAATGTCTTGTCTGCACGATCAAAGTCGGAGCCGATCGCTTTGAGTAAAAGTGCGGAGAAAATTGAGCGTGGAATTCATTCCGCCCCCGCTAACGAGGGAGCTGATCCTTTTCCCCACAAAACTCTTCATATCGATCTCAACGTACCCTGAAGTATTATTTTTTTCACATGATGAAGCCTGCCATCAGTAAACTCCTGGACTTGGTTACGACTGTGGTATTTAACATTGAATTCTCAGATGTACTACTAACTAGAAGTGAATGCAGTATGCCGTGCTCATGCAGTTGAGTAACACTAGAAATGACATGGGTAGAGCGCGAAAGCGACAAATGAACGCTGATGGTCGCGTGACCACTCAGCTACGCATATTGTAGTACATCTGTACAAAACAACAAAAGTTAAAGCACAATGATGATTAGGCACAATAATAACAGACAGAAATTAGAATTAACCTTTTGTGGGAGTTAATGGTTCGAGCGCTGGTATATAATAGTCCTTGGATTCATAGTTGATTCTGGAGAAAGCGTTTGGTGGAATGGTTCGCTTGTACTGTTAACAACGTTGTTTTTAGCTAATCACATCAGTCACCAAAAGATTCAGCTTTGATATGCCAAGCCCGAAAGAAATTGTCGAAAATACGCGTATCCAAGAAATCATAGTACAGTAAGTGTCTCGTTTAGATAACTATGTAGATAATGACATAATCTCCCATATCCACCTCGAATAGTTCTTTTGCAGTCAAAGCTTCGCTCCAAGGCTTAAGCGCGAAGCTATCCTTACAAGCTGGCATCACCGACACGTGCCAAATCACACAGACTTATCCCGAACCTCAACTCGTTCTTCCTCAGCACCAAGCATCTGCTTAGGTGTAGCATCCTCTTCAGAATGAACGTTGAGCGATCCAAAGTGCGAATCCAACTCCTCCAGAGTCTTGTTCTTGGTCTCAGGGTAGCAGGCATAGACAAGAATGGCAGCAAAGACGTTGAAAGACATGAAGATGAAGTAGACGCGAGGTCCGATGCGGGAGACAGCAATGGGCCAGACCTGACCAACGATGATCGAACCGAGGGATGAGCCGGAAGAGGAGATGGCGAGACCCTTAGAGCGACAGTTGGCAGGGAAAATCTCGGAAGCGTAGATCCAAGCACAGGGTCCGAAGCCCATACTGTCTGTAAAGTTGTTAGTATGTTGAATGCTTATTAGGCGGTCTGATAACTTACATCCAACGGTGAAAAAGAAGATAAAGAAGATGTTGGTGTAGTTGGCACTTTGGTTGTTTTGTCCGGGATAGGCAGTTTGAAGAGCACCATTGATCTGGAACCTGTTAGTAGCTGTAATGAGACTGATATGTAGCAACTCACCATCAAACAGAAGGCCATGATGATAGCTCCAATACCAAGCGAATGTCTTCGACCAAGCTTATCAATGAAGAACATGGCGGCAACGGTGCAAACAACCTGCACAGTTCCATCGATGCCAGACGCAAGCAGACTCAGTTCCTCAGAGGTACCAGCGGCGATGAAGTTGGTGGGGAGATAGTATCGAATTCCAGCAGCACCACTCATCTGTTGGAGGAAGGCAAGAGACCAAGCACGCCAGAGTCGTGACCAGAGTGGCTTCTGCTGAATGAAGACACGGGCTGACGTGATGGAGTTCTCCTGATGCCAGAGGATATTGGCGCGAATCTCGTCGAGTTCGGGTTGGATTTCGATGGCAGAGAGACCACGCAGCTTACAGAGGGACTCACTTGCGGCTTCGACTTGGTCTGTTTCAACGAGCCATCGAGGGCTGATAAGAGTTAGAGGGGAGCACAGAAGACAACTGTGATAGACTTACCTCTCAGGAATGAACAAGACACCACCGAGGAAGAGAAGAGCAGGGATGAACTGCGTGGCGGTGGAGAGGCGCCATTCAAGATCGATGCCATTACCGTAGTCCCAGAACGAGTAGCCATAGCCAACCCAGAATGCCATAGAGATACTGCACCAGTTAGTACTATACTCGCTTGGTGCGAAGCCTTACTTACCCAGAGACAATGCCGACCTGATTAGCAGCAACGTAGAGACCACGATGCTTGGCTGGCGAGATCTCACTGAGATACAGCGGGACAGCAGTGGAAACAACCCCTGTTCCAACACCAGCGATGATTCGTCCGACAACCATCATGGCGAGGTGAACAGCACCAGTCTGAATCGCAGCTCCAACACAGAGGAGGCAGACGCCACCGAAGCCAGCCCATCGTCGACCGTACTTGTTGTTGATGGGACCTGCCAGGAGGGCGAAAGAGGCGAATTGACCAGCGGAGAAGATAGCTGTAATGAGACCCTTCTCACCGGACGAGGGATGGTCGAGGGCTTTGTTGAAGCCGGGGGACACGTAGATGGTGCTGAGAATGCCGATATCATATCTACAAACCGTAAGTCTCAGATCAATGCGCGTTGCGAACTCTCGACTTACCCCCAGAAGATTGAGCCCATCGAAATGACAAAGATACTAAACAAGAGCCAGCCGCTCATCTTGCCTTGCGCAGGCACGGCACCCAACTCGGTAGTCATCTTGATAACAAACAGTCAGAGATAGTAATTGAACAAGTTGTGAGCACTCAAGTATTCGTGCTGTTGAGTTTCCCCGCAAGAAAGTCTGGGGAAGGCATACTTTTTAATCTTTTGTCAAATGGCTCTAAATCTGGGGTAGCGAAGTCGGGTTCTGGATGGAAACAGGGATTTTCATGGTATGATTCCGCGTTGCGGGGGGCGCTAAAGCTAGAGACGGAGCCTCCGCTTGCTTCTCCTCCCTCACGACGGTGGTCCCGTCTGGGGCTTTTGGATGGAGCTGTCCCGCTTTGTGATAAGTTCCAAAGTTTGGTTCATAATGGACTGACTATTAGATGCAGGTTCAAGTCTAACGATTTACGAAAAATACTGATCATCACTTGACCCAATTCCTTCCCTGCCATGACCGTCAACGGCACCAACGGGGATTCCCCGTCTCTCGGCGAACTTAAGCATATCTCTTCAACTCGCTTAACTCCCAGCCTCAGCATCCATTCATTCTCTATCCTTACAAACCATGAGTTCAGTCGGAGCTTCCGTCCAAGCCAACACCTGACTCTACAATTCCCGCCTGATCTAGACCCTGTATCGGGACCCCAGAATTTATCGGACCCGGAGAGATGTCTTTCTTTCACACCTTTCCATTTACAGTATGCAGAGGATGGGGCCATTGAGAGCATCTCTCTCATGGCGCGCAATGGTCGCGTTACCGGGCTGTTGGGACTCCCAAGGCCGCATGGACCGTTGGTCGCTAAGATTGTTGAGGTCGGTGGTGGATTCCCCTCCGAGGTCATGGAACAAACCGGCCAAACATTATGCATTGCTGGCGGTACTGGAATCGCACCATTTATTTCTATGGCGGCGGCCAAAAACTGTAGCCACAGTGCCACTGACCTGAAGCCCAGTCTTATTTGCAGCATTCGCGGGGATGACTTTGGAGTTATTGAGTATCTCTGGAACCACGAGATGCTTTATCCGCGAGATTGGAATTTGATTCGAATTTTCGTGACGCCTGGAGAAGAAGATGGGGGGTTGGCTGCTGGCAAGTCACAGAGCTGGTGGCACCAGCGCTTCAAAGAGCTCCTACATGACCATAACGACAGCGATGTCTTCCGCCTTGGGAGGATCGAGAAAAAAGACTTGGAGGGTTTTAGTAAAGATGGAGATGGACCAGTGCTTTTCTGTGGAAGTAGGCAATTGGAATGGCAGGTCAAAATGTGGTTTCTTGGCAAGAAAGATATTCATTGCACGGAGAGATAGAGAATAATATTCGTGATTATACTTCTAACAAAGTAACAATTCTCCAGCACCCTGTAGATGACTCAAAAGCATTCATATAAGATATCAGTCGACCTATAAAACTAATTCCCAGCTATTTGTATCTATTCGTACACTCTGACTTCGAAAATACCGCCAAAGGCATTCTTATCACCATTCAGCTCCAGAACCTCAATCCCAAGCTCCTTCACCGTCCTGCTCGTCTCAAGAACAACCTCCCGGCGCGACAGATGGTTCTCATCCTCAACATATAGCTCTTGCTCTCCATCAGAGAGATCCAACAGACGCCACTTCTTGACACAGAATGGGATAGTCCTTTCTGGATGACCTCTCAGCACCGACTCAAGAGCGTGATCATAGTCTGTATCGAAGTGCACAACAACTTTGTTCACCTTGACAGGGTTATCCCAGCCAATCTTGAGAATCTTCCTACCAGATGAGTCGGAACGAGGAACCCAGCAGTTGGTTCTCTTGGTCGGACGGGGAACGCCATTGCAGATGTTCTCGGCCCCCCAAGCCTTCACAGGTGGATCCAGCGTTAAGGCAAGGTTGTGACCCATTGGCCTTCGAACTGGTGTCCAGCGCTCAAACTCATCGACTCCGACATCACTAGGCGGACTTTGAGTGCATTCGTGCTCAACAGTCATGAGAGCTGATACGCGTGTCTTGCTGGTGCAAAGTGCCACCGAGTCGTTCTGCAGGAAAGATAGGAAGACATATTGAGTCTGAGGGTTCTCAACTTTGAAATCAATAACAAGATCGTTCTGTCCTGGAACCAGGGAAAACTTGGTCTCAGCAAGGATGACCTCAGGCGTGTAGTTGTAAGGCTTCTGAGATCCTCGAAGCTGAACCGTCAATACGGTGTTTTCGACTGACATAGCTGCGATAGAGAAGGTAGGAACAGGACCTTGTGAGAGGGGGAGCATCTGCGCAAGACTTCGGACCAAAACCTTTGGTGGCCCGTCAGCTGGAAGCTGCGATAGCTCAAACGATGATCCCTCGATCTTGGTGGCTGAGCGAACAAGATCTTCAGAGTCGTTGAGCTTATACCCAGGAATGAATTGACCAAAACGCATGAGCTCTCGCTGGAAGTTCTTCATATTGCTCTTGACAAGTAATTCCATAGGATCGACGCTCTGCTTCTTACATAGAGAAGCAGCGATACCCAAGGCGTTTGCATTGGCTCCGCACGTTGCCATAACGCGGGTAGATGCAAAGGCGACGTGGGAGGCTGACATGATGCGGCCTCCGTACATCAGATTGGGGATCTCGGAGCAGACCATGGAAGAGAATGGTATTTGGTAGACGCCTGCGAGAGTTAGTAAAAAGAGGCCTTGATTGGGTGATAAACGTACCCTTTGAGTGCCACTGAGTGCAGCCGTCGACTTCGGAGAAGACACCATCAGCGGGATGCAGATCGAGAGACCAGCCACCAAAAGAAACGGCATCGGAGTGATAGCGCTGTTCGACAATGTCCTGCTGTACCATGATAGTAGGGCCGACTGTAACTATTAGCTCTGCTCAAAGATCATGCATTTAGAGGACTCACTGAACCGTCTACTCTCCCTCTTGCCCGGAATAGTCCCAACCCACTCAAGCGTCAAATTCTCCGCCTCGGGAAACCTCCCCGAATTCTTAAAATAATCCCAAACTCCATACACAACCTTCCAAAGCTCCCATTTGATCTGCTCCGTATCATGGATAGTATCAAGTCTACCACCGTACTCAATCCACCAGAGATTGCATCCCATCTCCTTCGTGCTAAAGCTCTTGAAGCGAGGAATTTCTCCCTCGACGTCTTTGAGAGCGTAAGCGGGTGCAACGTACTTTACGGGCTTGCCGGTGTCTTTGGTGTAGAAGTAGATAGAGTGGCCGAGAAGATGGCCGTACTCTGAAGATGGAGCGAAGAGCTCGTTGAATTCATCGCGCTTTTCAGCGCCGATTCTGAAGGGAGCACCGGCGAGGAATGAAAGTGTGCCGTCGCCAGTGCAGTCGATGAATTGCTGAGATTGGATGGTGTATTTGAGAGAGGACTGTGAGTTGAACGCGCTGATAGAGCTGATTCGATCACCGTCCTTGTCGCAGCCAACGAGTGCTGTGTTGAGAAACAATTGGATATTTGACTCCAATCTCACTTTCTCCAGAAGAATCGTATCAAGAATCAGAGGATTGCCCTCGGGGTTTCGGTACAAATTCTCGAGTAAAATCTCATCAACAAGACCGCCCTCTCTCGCATAGCGATTGTTATTGAACATATGCGACGTAGCTCCAAGGATCCATAGCCGGACCTCACTGGAAGCATTGCCTCCGAGAACAGGTCTGTCCTGGATGAGAATGACTGACACGCCATTTCTCGCGGCTGCGATGGCTGCGATAGTGCCCGCGAAGCCTCCACCACAGACACAGAGATCTGAGTTCAGTGAGCGGAGCTGAAAGTCGCGGCTTTGTGTTGCTGGCTCACGACGGAGGACAGGGTCGTGGGATATCCTTGCAGGGGCCATGGTAGCGAAGTCTGAGTGCTAACTAGCTGGCCAGTGGAGTGTTGTAATTTGTGTTCGGGTCAAGCTAAGATGATGAGAATGAGTAGATTGCATGCTATGAAATAGTCTCTTCTCTTTTATTACTCGCAATCACAATGCCTGATGATCAGCCCGATGCAGCCGCCTGCAATAAGCCTAACGGTTAGTCAATCTTTCGGGCAACATCAACGGAACCACCGTTAGCTGATTGACTTGCCACTAACACTTTTGCGGTGGTTCCGTCTGACATTCCACTTTTCCCCCGCAAGCTAACCTGGAGACTCGCGTCGGCGTGAAGGAGCCGCCTTTGTTCGGGTATTCGATGCTCAGCTGATGAAGCCATTCAATGGAGAAACTCGCCCTCGTGATATTTCCATGAGCCCGATTGAACATTTGTTGTGGCATTAGCTGTCCGACCCCGCATATTCTTAGGCAGGTACCGACGAACTGGTCACTCCGTACAACCATGAGCGAGACTGGAGAAGATCTCCAAGGGCGGCCACTACGGAATGTCACCCTGCGAGTATCGCAAATATTTTCAGCCTGTACCTTCTGCAAAGCTCGGAAGATCAAGGTATACGCATCGTTGTCCTCTCAGACCAGACCAAAACTGATTCCTGGTAGTGTAATGGTGCAACTCCAGCATGCGGTGGATGCGTCAAGTTTGGCCGTCAAGCGACATGTTCTCTCTCGATAGAATCTGCAAACCGCGGACGAGACTATCCAACTTACCTTCGACAAAAGATCGAGGCTGCTCAACAACGCCTCAGCCAACACCACGCTAGACAAAACAATCTTACTTCGCCTTCAGATACTGAGCGGTCCAACCGGAATGAATCAGCAGAGACTCATCAACGATCTATCATCGATTCACTCATCGCTGATATTGGAGCACTTCCCATCATAGCATGCTCATATCCATCAGCCGCAGAAGGGCCTACACTATCTTCACTTGTGCTGGCAACTGCAAGCACCAACCAACTCTCATCAGCCCTGCGTTTAACCCAAGCCAATGATGTTGCACCGTGTTTACCCAAAGAGTCAACCGCGTTGAGCCTGGCAAAACATTATTTTGATCAGGTGTACCCACGAATACCTTTCTTCTCTATCCAAGGCTTCTGGGTGCAGTTCGAGCATGTCTTTTCCGGCGTTGATCCTCGGCGTGAGCGCGGACAGGATGGTCCACCACAGGATCCAGCCAGTGTTCTAACGCCGAGCCAAGATGATCTCGATCGCTCTTCTATAAGTCACGGATATAGCTATTTCACAGTTCTGTTGGTGCTAGCCATCTCAGCTTCGAGTCTATCGCGAAGTGCCGATAGCGTGATATCCACCCAAGCTCAGCGACTATTTCGTACAGCACTGACATTCCGCGAGTCGGCCATCCTACCAAACACTATCATCGGTGTTCAGTCTATCCTATTCTTGATCCAATTCGCTACTCTCAACCCCTCACTACTTGACGCCTGGTATCTTATCGGTGTCGGCATGCGCATGTGCGTTGATCTTGGACTCCATCAAGATCCACAACCTCTCGACTCGGTCGCGACAAGTCTCTTGGAGACGCGACGCCGTCTTTGGTGGAGCATGTACTCTTTCGATCGGTCCATGAGTTTGGGATGTGGACGACCAACTGAGATCTCTGACTCTGCTATTAACGTATCTCTGCCCACATTCAGAATTGAGACAGCAGCAACAGCAGTCGAGGTTCACGGCTATCTACAACGCTATCGTGCACTGCAGATCCAGTCCGAGATATATAATCGCCTGAATAAGTCTCCAGTATTTGAAATAGGTGATGCACAATCAATTCATGAACAACTCGGCAAGAAGTTGGGCGATTGGAAAGACTCAAGTTCTCAACTACCGAACAAGACGCTTATCGAAAGTGAATGGTTAATGGGCCGCATGCTTCTTCTAAGACCCTGCAGACTTTTACCTCAACGGACGTCTGATGAACTTAGTGAACTGTGGCAAGCAGCTGTCGGATTCATCGCGATCTATCGTCGACTAGTGGAGTCTAACTCGATATTCTACGTTCAGATTGCCTGCGAGAAGATTTACTGGACTGGTCTTATGGCGTTCTATAGCTACTGGCAACTCCACACTAGCACCACTGGAGACCCTACTTCCATGCGGCGTCTGGATGTTTGGATGATTGTCAAGGATGTCATGTTCATCCTTCGAGCATTGAGTGAGAGATGGGACCAGGGCAAACTTCTCTGTGGACGATTCGATGACGTGAGCACCCGTGTTCTTGAGGTATCGGAAAACGACTTGGGAAATGGCCTGGCGGTTGCTTTGCCTGTTGAACTACAGAATCTGGAACAGTATACAAGCTTGACGGTAGTGTGGACGTCGAGCCACAAACTGGATCAGAGGAATGAACATGCGCTGGACACAAACGAGCTCCGACATTTGGTATCTGAGATGTTGTAATTGACGGTGGCTTTTTCACGCGGCTAAATGTCTGCATGGATGAACTTTAGTGCATCATTATGTTACTAGCAGTGCCAGCTCCCCCTATAGCTATTCATATCAGTTGTCACAATGTTCATCATACGAGGCTGTAATCCTATGCAGGCTTATCATTCCACAAGTCCCGTTGAAGCGGGGTGTTGAAAGTCCATGCACGAGTTTAAACGGCTGATTTTGCCTCGGTTGAAGCTAAGATAATTATTCTATGCTAGAATATACTAAATAATAGGAATTGCTAAAGCTAGAGAAGGGCTGCAAGCGCAGCAAGAAGAGAAATCATCCTAGAGACATGAGTACTAGCACTACTAACAACAGGAACAGTACTAGGGTAAGATCCCTTGGAGCCAGGAACATTAGAGCTCTGAGATTCTCCCTGTGTACCAGAACCGGAACCGGCGTTTGAGCCACCGTTGGGGGTGCCATTGGGGCTAGTGTCAGATACACCACCAGACTCTCCGTTAGATCCAGGACTGGAATTTCCGTTGTTAGAACCAGAACTGGAACCACTCTGGGAGCTGCCGTTGTCGCCGTTATTAGAACTAGACTTGGAACCTCCGCCAGAGGCACCGTGAGGAGTAGTCGCATTCCAGTTCACACCCTGATGAGGCCTAACAACATTGTGCTGTGAGGGACAGTCGTATCCGCCACAACTAGGTACCGCATCATTGCAATTATCAGGGGTACCCCAAGATTCTTCCCATGGCTGATATACAACCTTACCACTGGGGCAAGTGCTGCAGCCTGTATCCGTCGGTACAAAGAACGAGTTATAGTTATACCAGTCAGGGCATTGCTGGGGTTTGTAAACCGTGATGCTGTCACAGCTGCCTGCAGAACAGAATTTAGGGATATACCTCTTACCACCAGCACAGGAGCACGGTTCAGAGACATAGACCAATTGGCCATCGCACTCACTGCCGTTGATTTCGACAAAGACGTAGACAGTAGCAGAGTTAGTCGAATGGCACTTTCCAGCAGAGCATACCAGAGTGGCGGTGATGACCTCGGTAGCTATGCTTGAAGCTCCAGCATTGGTGACAGTGGTGGTGAAAGTAGTGACAACGGTCCTCCGATCTGTCACAGTTTGGGTGGCAGACTCGGTAAGAGTGACTCCAGCCTCGAGGGCAACGTAGACGGTGAGAAGAACATTGCTAGATATATCTTGGCGAATCCGAAGCTTGGAGTCAGATTCACCTCCACAGAACTGGGTGTTGTCTCCAGGGCACTCGATATCACACTGGTCGAGGGGGACCCGTCTGGTAGCAGAACCAACCTCATCACCACAGTAACAAGCACTATACGAGTTAACAGCCAGGACTTGGAGTATAAAGATAACACTTACGTATCATATACGCCAAAGTAACTCCGCCCGGAACAGAGAGTAGCACAAATATCCAGGCCCATCTTAGGGTTAGATTGAGCGAGCGTAAAGGTAGGGAAGCCAGCAGTAGAGGCAACACATCCAAAGAGAGTAAAATCGCCGACCTCGCCAGGAAAGCCACCTGGCAAGGTAGCAGTTGCAGAAGGAGAGGTACTAGTAGCCGTTCCTGCAGTTCCGCCCTGCGAGTTGGTAGAACCATCTGCACTGCTGACCTCGGTGGCAGTCTCAGTAAAGAAGATAGTCTCGCCTTGAGAATTGGTGGTAAAGCCTTCACTGTTGGTACCAGTAGCAGCAGCCCCAGTAGTTGAGGCAGTTTCTCCACCTGAGGGTGTAGTAGCAGCCTCACTGCTGGTGGCAGGGGTGGTTTCAGTAGGAAAGATGGTCTCTCCCTCGGAGTTGGTCGTAAATTCAACGCTGTTGGTTGCGGAAGTACCAGTAGGGGTGCCAAGGCTAATCGAAGGGATGGGGGTTGAGACTGCACCCTGACCATTCTTGACAGCGAGTCCCTCAAGGAGTAATTCGACATTTTCACCGTTACAAGATTGTCGAAATACAAAATCAAATTCGTCCTTCGGGGGTAGAGGGTTGGTAGATATTATCGAATTGCCAGAGCTCCCAGTTATTGGGACAGCAAGGACAACCTCACCATCGGCGAAAATTTCAAAAACACAAGGAACAGACTCAGCCCGCTTTCTGCGTCCTCCGGTGACGGATATGATATTTGCGACAGCAATACGCGGAACTCCAATGCCCAAAGCAGAAGCCACCGCGGGAACAAACTTAGTTTTAAAATCGACGTAGGAAGTATTGTAATCAGTTGTGACTGAGAAAGGCCAGTTGATGGGCTTAGGGATCTGGCGGCGATCGAGGGTAGAGACAGCGGCCACGGGAGACATAAGGCTAAATTTATATCATGTTAGAGTCATGCCGGTTATTCTGGTGGCTTCTGAGTGATACGTACATGCTTGCGCCATCAGGTGGCGGGTAAAACGAAGCACCTGGGCCCAATACGGCGCTTCGCAGATCGAGTTCAAATGATGCAACGCTTGATGCGGAAGTAGTGGTGCTGGTCTCAATGCTGCTGGCGGTCTCGATACTTCTGGTGGTCTCGAAGCTGCTGATGCTGTCGATGATGTTGGTGCTCTCAGTGCTGCTAGAGCTCGAAAGGAGGTTGGTGGTCCCAGTAATGGTAGCAGTAGTAGGGATCGAAGAAGTAGAAGAGGTGGAGCTCTCAACAGCAGAGGTACTGGAGTTGGTGAACCTTGTAAACTGGCCAAACGCACTGGAGGCGCTGGCCAAGAGGACGCCTGAAGTTAGGCGCATAACTAGACAAGGAATTAAACAAAAGGGCTGATTGAGAAGGAAATATATAGATAAATGATGATGGATTAGAAAGGAAGTTTGGTTTGGTTTAAATACATCAAGCTTCACAATCAAGAGAGCGCATGACTGCCATTATGTGTGCTGCTCCTATCCAGAATAGTCACATTCCTGTTCAAAGCTACCACTACAGTAACGCAACCGTCAAGACTTATAGCTGAGCGCTTAACCTAACACAGCTTATCAATCAATTGCTCTGTACAGTATTTTGCTGTGAGGCATTTTCAGCGCTCGAGACACATAAACAACGCTTTGTTATTCAAGGTCTCGATCTAAACCTGTAGCAACCGCCTTATCATCCAAGACATCCGTTTTCGCCTGTAACAGCCAGTTAAAATTCTAGCTTAGACCACAGTAGTGGAATTCAAAATATGCAAGGCTCAATAATCCATCCGGATTTATCTTAGCGCTTCACCCAAGGTTATATCGATAAACTTTCTAACCGTTTTAACTGTTAACTGTCAACGGATGAAGGTTCCAGGTCTCTGGTAGCTTTGTGGCTTTTGTCTGGAATGCGTTTCCTAAGCGAGACTGTGACAGCACGCCCGCATTCAGTCCCTGATTCTGGCCGAGACATGCTCTGCACTGAAAATGGATTAAGACTTTTTTATGTAATTTCTACAGTAACACAAGGAATCTTAATTAAATTAAACCAAGAAGCGGTTTGTTGATGTGGTAATAAAGTTATAGTAAACCTAGGCTTAAGACAAAGATACAAGTACCGGGGTTTAATAATTATAAGCAAAACATTATATTCTTCATTAAGACAGGGGTGCAGTCAGAACCTGTAGCTCATAGACTGGAGCATATTGAGTAGTATTTATAATGGCCTGAAAGATGGCCAATAAGTAGTTCATATAATTTTATCGCCCTTGGCTATAAATAACTTAAGTTTCTTATACTTTCCATTAGCAATTTGATAATATTTAATTCTGGATTGTTTAGTATCTGTAAAAGCAGGTTGTAAGGATAAAACTAATTACAATAGAAGCAGAAGTAAGCAAGGCGACTAAAAGATAAATTTAAATAAAAGAATAAGTAAAATGCTTATTTTTATTATT